AAAATCCATTACAGAGAACTGTAAAATAAGTCTGACATCGATAAATCACAGCTAAGGAACTAATACTCTTCAGTTTTCTTAATAAAATTCTATTTAAAGATGCACTCTCCGGTTAAAGCTTTTTTGAAGGCAAATTATAATAATAATTATTTATTATTTTAAAGTGTTTGCAACTACTTTTTCTAGCTAGCTCAAACTAATCATTATTTAGGACAATATCCGACATTTATTGGGCAGCATAAATGCCTTAAATCATGGTATAAAGCTAAAATACTGATAAGATACAAGAAAACCGCTTACTACCCCTTCGTAACGAAAAGTTTATCATCAATCTTAGAAAAGCGTTTTATGCTCCCATAAATTGAAACAACCTCTTTCTGCTTGATGTTTTAGACAAAGGTCTTCATCAGCACTCGGCTTCATTGCTGATATTACAAAATGCCCAAAACCATTTTAGATGTTTTTTATATTTGCGCTAATTAGATTCAATTAAAATTAACGACGCCCATGCCCATCGATTTCACACGCATATAAAAAAGGCGAAAAAAAGCAAGTAACAGACAGCAAAACATAAAAATCTTGCCTTTGTATGTGGCTACTTTCTTAATGTTTGCTTTAATTTTGTGTTTTTTACACATCTGACCTCAATACAAAAGGCAATTCGAGAGTGGCTCGCTTCGGTTTCCAGTGTTCAGTTTCCAGTGTTCAGTGTTCAGTGTTCGAGTTCTGTTTAATTTCAGATATTTGTTTCGAAGGCGGAATGATGTCATTGATTGGCTTTCGGCGTTCTGTGCGCGGAGTATCTGGTAGTTCTCAGAGATCCATGGATCCAACAGATGTTGTCGACTGCTCGCATTCAAATTGGTGAAATATTTCATCGTCTAACTCTCATTCATTCTCAGGTGTGCTGTGTTCATTGAGGGAACAAAACGATTTCCAGGAATACACCATTCTACATAACAAAACATGAGAGGTAGTGACAATTTTTTTTCGTTGGTTCTGTAAAACACATATCTCATTTTCATTCATGGGACATGATGAGTTCAGTTCGGGTTAGCTTAAAGCTGAACCTGTTTGGGTTGCGTTTCAGCCACCAAAGGTCGTCGTGCTGTCCGCACATTTTAATTAGAAACGAGCCAAAGTGGAAGCAATTATGTACGTGCAAAGCTTGTCCAAAGGAAGTTGTCAACTTGTTGGACTCTTCCGTTTGGCCATACTATACTTCCATCTCCTCTTCTTTCTGGCCAACTGTCGATAAAGGTGGAATGCATTCGCCGATAAGAAAGACCTGCAAGTCGGCTTGCGATAAGATAAACTTCGAATGGCAACCAATTAAATATTTAGCGCTGGCCTCCTTTGTGTGTATCTGCTGGATGCGCCCCCATAGAGCCATAAAATGTGTGAAATTCGTCTAGGCAGCGGCACAGACAGGTAGTAGATACATTTGTATCTCACGCTTGGTACCTGCTGCCAGCAGCTATTTTTAAACATTCACCAGTAAATTCGTCAAACAAACAAACAAACGCAAGAGGTCGCAGACAGCAATTGTATTTGTAGCTGTTGCTGTAGCTGTATCTGTGTCTGAGGCTACAAAATCGAGGCGGTGTATCTATAGGCGATACAATTTTCCACTCCTTTTGACCGATTTGCTTTGGTCAATGTCGGGGCAACTCGTTGCTTATGCAACGGTGATGCAGCAGCAGCAGCAGCAGCAACAGCAGCAGGAGCAGGAGCAGAAAAGTCAAAGCCAAATTCGCCGACGACTTACTCACTGGGAACAGGAACACTTTGCCCCTCCCGCCGAATCGTATCTGCCAGATACTCCGATACCTCTGCTGGATCTCCATCATCGAGTTCTTGGACTGATGCTGCTGCTGCTGCTGCTGGTTCATTGTTTGTCCATGTCTTTTGTGCCGCGTAATCGCTGTTTTCCAATGAACACACACACACACACACTCTCTGTGAGATACAAACGTCGCTGGATTCTTTCGGTTTTGTGTTTTTTGATTCATGGATGCCAGTGGCGCGTTGTTGTTCTTGATTCTTTATTTTGGATTGTTATGTTCACGGAAAAGGTAAAGGTTAATGCCTAGTGAAGTGTGCACAGCATCGCAATAGGATGGGTGAAGGGGACGGGAACGGGAACGGGGACTCTCGAGCCCAGATACAGATACAAATGCAGATATGTGGATACATAGCTAACTAGTTGGCATTTCCGCTCCAAGTGGCGTTACTTCGGGGCTATAATGCGTGTAATGGGATTTGGTGATTTGTCGGCCAAGCATCTTATTATCTTATTTAGTTGGTATAATTTGGTAAACACTTTCGCCACCCTGCCGTTGAGATGTGCTAAACACTGTTTGCACCTTTTTGTCTGAGAGATTCCAATCTCTTGGCTGGGCAAAAACATTCATCCCATTTGTGTAGACTTCAGCCCAAGTTCCTAACTCGAATTTACATTGCGCCATGTCTGAGGCCGCGCATAAATCAATTATTTGCACCTTAAGCCCATAAATCATTTTATGACGAGCAACAGCAAAAGACAAACATTGGGACTGGTCAAAAGCACAGACATCTGGACAGATAGAGGGGGTGAAACACGAAAAGGCCCTCCACTGAGCCAAAAAGGCTAGCAAATTGCCGGAGTGGATTTCGTTTTCGCAATCTTTCCTTTTTTTTTTTTTGGTTTTTGGCCTAAGTGCCCTGAAAGCCTGGCTAATATGGCGTTGGCGGTCTTGTCTTGTTATCGCAGCAACAAAAGGCCACAATAAAAATATAAACGCACACATATGTGTGAATGATTTCTGAAAATCACCAAAGGCACTTTGATTTCGTCTCTTTTTTTGTAGAGCTTGTAGAGCTTTGCCTAAGCCCGGTTTTTTTTCTTTGAGTATTTTGGACTTCATTCAATCGCCATCCGACGCGCTCTCTTTATTTTTGTTCCCCTATTTGCTCGGCTCTTTATTCCTGCTTCTATTTGTTGTTGTACATTTATACGGTTTATTGACTTTGACCGGAGTTTTTTCGTTTTTAGCCAGTTTTTTGCGCACTAAGCTGAAGTATAAACAAGAGTGGAAGTAAATGCAAACAATAACAAAAGTGTTAAATATGTGTAGAGAGTGTCCGAGGAGAGGAGAGAGGTTTCTTCAAATATATAGAATAAATCAGTAGACATAACTTCTTAACTTTAAAGCTAAGAACTCTTGAGGCTAAACATTTTTGTATACAAAATAAAATTAATATATAAATGACAGCATTTGAAAACACTTTTAACAAGAAAGCTATCTTTTTTGCTGATAACTTAATATATTTTATTTTGTAAAAGGATTAGCAAAGACTTAATTGAGAACATAAACATTAAACATTTAATATAAGTAAAACACGATAAGAGTCATCATTTATCTACGAACTTATTCTATAATTTTATACATTTCTTACCAAAGACTTACATATATATTTTTTTAGGCAAAAGCAAATGCCTGGCTTACTTAATAAAACTTTTAGATGGGAGTACATATCTTACAATTTCTTATTCAAGCTCTTCATAATTGTGTATTCTGGTAGTTGTTTTATCTGTACCTTTTTGCTAAGAAATTACCAAAGTTAAGCACTCCAATTTACACTACCCGACGTTTGACTAATATTCTATATCTATTTGCTCTTCTCCATTTGCAGGTGCGTATTATGAACCAAATGTCTGAACAAACAGGGAAATGTTATCTGCACAAATGTTTGCTTTCGCCGGTCATACAGCAATATGCTAGATATACCATAGATATTGGGTATCTGTGCGGTAAGTTGGTCAGATAAGGCCCCCAAATGCGCATTCAACTAGACAGCTTGGCGTTGCGACCCATGGCGAATTATGATTTCGGTGGTGTTTGAGTGTGGATGCTTTACTCATCCGGCTAGGGATCATCAATCATTTAATAATAAATGCGCGACTCAACGCCAACGCTAAAATTCAAAAGAGCGACTAACTAAAATCACACAAAAATAAAAACAAAAGCGATCCAAAAAAGCGTAGAAAATCCCCCTACGCTTGAGTGGTATACAAATCCACCAAATATGAATATAAATGCGAGCTGAGCTCTGGCAGAACAGTAGGAAAATTTAATAAAATTTGGAAACAGGAGGGCGAGAACTGCTGCTTTGTCTGCAACTCGATGCCACACCATTCACTTTTCGTTATTAATATATTTTTTTTCGGTTAAAATTATGCTAATCCGTTGAAATATGATTATGCCGAATGACAACAGCGTGACGGGGGCGGAGGGCGTGGCCGGTGTGGGGCGGATCGGTCGCATATATGTCGGCAGGTGTGCCTATTAAAAGCGAGGGCTTGTGCATAATTTGATTGCCTTTCGCAGCTAATTTCGTTTACTGGGAAACCCGAGAGCACCGCCAAGCACTCTCGTCTAATTAAACCCATGACGGAAATTTTCATATTAAATCATTGGCGGGCTCTTCTTCCAGGGCTGAAGTGAAACTTTTTCAATTAAAGAAAAGTCGCCGAGTCGACCTTCAAAGCAAACAAATTTCGAAAATGAAATTGTAGGCGAAAAAGTAATTTAATTAGCTTAGCCCAAATAGGAATAAACAAAACGAAGCCGACTCAGAGAAAAGTCCTTTCTGCCGCAGCGTCTACGAGTCGAAATCGAAAGGGTTGCAGGCCAGCTCTCGTCGCGTGCTTTCATTTTATTTGGCCGAGAAAGTTTCACTTCTTTGACGGTGCCAGTCGCCAAACTTGGAGGCGCCAAAAGCAAAAGCAAAAGCAAAAGCAATGGCAAAGGCCAGAGCAGAGCTGGTGGCCTAAGAGCTATGCAAATTGGAACTGGAACCCGCGAAGAGCTGGCCAAGTGTTGATTTTCGTCATCTGCAAATGAATTTTTTAAAATTTTAAGAAATTGTGGTGGAAATGTGAGGGAAGTTGAGTTTTCACGATCAAAGTGCCATTTTCAAAAAATGAAACAGCATTCATTAGTTTATTCAGCTCTATATAACTATATATCCCCGGGCTTTAAAACTCACCCGTGTTCCAAGCGATCGAATGTCCTTGACTTTAAAATTCATCACCACATTTTCAGGCAGTAAGTTCATCTAAATTTCAGTAGACCATGTCCGGCCAACTGTTGAAACTTTCTGCTTCGGGTCGGCAGTCAAGTACCACCAGACTTCACACAAATCGCAAGATACTCCAGCTCATGAAGTCCTGGTGGTATCGCAGGCGCTTTGATGGTTTCGAGAAAAAGGAGATCCCGGCACGGCAGCCAATTCCAAGGATCCGCCGAAGTCGCTATCCGGACGCAAAGGAAAATCCGTTCCGTAGAAGTCCCGAATGTCTGCCAGGAAGGGGAGAGGTCCTCGAGCCCACACGCATTCAACCGCCGCGGAATTCAATGTGTTTCTCGGTAATACGATTCTTTGGAAGCTCCGCTTTTGATGGAGGATCCGGTGAACCACCGGAAGATCGGGAGGGCAAGCTGATTAAGTTCCCTGTGAGATCTCGTTCAGAAAAACTTCAAAAGGGAAAGTTGAATATCTCGAAAACAGAACCGCTTGCCTTTGGCACAGATACTTCTGCCGGGAAGGAATCATCTCAGTCAGATCGTTTATTGGGATTGTCAGAAAAGTCTACGACCAAGGAGTTAACTCCAGATACCCAAACACCTAAGGCTTTGGATCAATCGGGAAAAGATGGGGAAGACGATGAGCTCGAAAGTGTTTTACTCAAATCCGTAACGGAGTCTATCAACGCATTTGATGAGTCGAATGAACCTTGGAAATCGAATGATCCCCTAGGAATTCAATCCCAACCACCGGAACGTAGCCAAAGTGGAAGTAAACCACCAAGCAAACCCCCTTCAGGACCTAAAAACCCTTCGAAGCCGCCGACAATTGGAAAGCCTCATCCATTAACCGTGAATAATGCCGGAGCGGGAGCTAAGCCTCCTATGAAAACAGCATCTGGAGGTAAATCGCCCACTAAACCTCCTACAGGAAGTAAACCTCCCAGTAAACCGCCAGCGGGAAGTAAGCCACCTAGCAAACCTCCTACTGGAAGCAAACCTCCCAGTAAACCGCCTGCAGAAAGTAAACCTCCCAGTGAGGCGCCTACTGCCAGTACACCACCCACAGGAAGTAAGCCTCCGACTGGAAGTAAGCCTCCCACAGGAAGTAAGCCTCCCAGTAAACCTCCCACAGGAAGTAAGCCTCCCAGTAAACCGCCAGCAGGACCCAAACCACCAACTGCCGGCGAATCGAAGAGAGGCGGAGCTGGAGGCAAGTCAGAAAAGGATGCAGATGGAACAAGAGTCATAACCCTAATGCCTGGCGATGGCATTGGGCCGGAGATCTCGATGGCGGTGATCAAGGTGCTGGAGGCCGTGAAGGCACCTCTAATCTTTGAGCCCGTGGACGTGACACCGGTGAAAAATGCCGAGGGCCACACCACAGTGCCCGACCAGGTGATCGAGAGCATGAACCGGACGAAGGTGGGTCTGAAGGGTCCCCTGATGACCCCGGTGGGCACTGGCTTCCGTTCGCTGAATCTCACCCTTCGCCAGCTGTTCAACCTGTACGCCAACATTCGACCTTGCAAATCGCTACCTGGTGTGGAGACCATTTACGGCGATGTGGACATCGTGACCATTCGGGAGAACACCGAGGGCGAGTACTCGGGCATCGAGCACACCCTGGTCGACGGGGTCGTCCAGAGCATCAAGCTGATCACGCGGCCGGCCTCGCTCCGGGTGGCCGAGTACGCTTTCCAGTATGCCCTGGACATGAAGCGGAAGAAGGTTACGGCCGTGGCCGAATCGCAGGCCATGCGAATGTCCGACGGATTGTTCCTGACGTGCGTCCGCGAAATGGCCGCCAAGTACAAGAACAAAATGGACAAGGCGGGTATTGTTTATGAGGAGTCGACGATGACCACCCTCTGTCTGAATATCGTCCAGGATCCCAAACGATACGACATGCTGGTGCTGCCCAATCTGTATGGCGATATCATCTCGGACACTTGTGCCGGATTGATTGGCGGACTGGGTCTGACGCCCTCGGGCAATGTGGGCACCAATGGCGCCATTTTCGAGTCGGTGCACGGAACTGCTCCGGATATAGCTGGCAAGGATCTGGCCAATCCCACGGCCCTGCTGCTGTCCACTGTGATGATGCTGCACTACATCGGAATGCACGAGCACGCGGACAACATAGAGCAGGCTGTGCTGAAGACCATCAAGGAGGACAACATCCGCACCATGGACTTGGGCGGCAAGGCCAAGTGCTCCGAGTACACCAATGCGCTGATCAACAACCTCAAGTGACCCAAATCGATCCTATTGAACTTATACTTATGTCATTGTTAAGCTCAAATTGTCGTTTGAATGCCCTTGAGGTATTTTGTTTACAACTAATTAATAATTACTTACAAACTTTTTAAGAATTAAACGCTTGTCATAGAATTGTTTTCTACTCTGGCCTAAATTGATATATGTATAGTTAAATAACCGTTTTATTTGATGACTTAAATCAATCTTCACTTCAAGCCTCATAATTTTTATGAAATTCAATAATAGCGACTCCCTGTCGTGCCAAAATGACTTTGTCAAACCATCCCTGCCCGGCATGAGTTATCTGACGGCTCTGATCACACTAATTTTGCAACAAGCTATGAAGTAACCAAACATCACAGGAAACCGCCAGCTCCGTCCGAGAGAGTCAAAAGCCAGTCCAGCCAGAATCGGCAGAGACCACAATGCCACTCAGCCCCCCAAAAACACTGCACTGCACTCCTGCCCCACTCCACTCCGAAAATTCCCAGCCAGCCAGTCTAACCAGTGCCAAAGTCAAAGTCGGACTGTCAAAGAGCCAGAGTCAGTCAGTCTCTGGGCCCGGCGCAAGTCATCAACCGCAGCACATGGTCGGCAACTGGGAACTGGAAACAGGGAACTAGGGTTCCTGCCCACTCCACTCCGCTCCACTCCACTCTACTCCACTCTACTCCACTCCACTCCACTGTCTGTCCCCTTGGCCAAGTTACGTTGCATTTTTACATGCATGTTCTGTTCTGTACTGTTCTGTTCTGGTCTGTTCAGGTCGGGTCGGGTCCCAGCACAAACTGAAACTCAAACTCCGAGTGGGACTCGACTCCTCGGTGAGCTGCGTTTAAAAGCACAGACCCGGCTCCTAAACAAATCGAAACTACTAGCCAACAGCAGCAGTAAAACAAGTAAGAACGTTGTAGTTACGGGCAACGACTAGCAGATACCCTGCCTTAAAACGGGTCGAACAATCTTTGTAGCCTACTTCAAGGTGTTTTACATATATTTGTGGGAAGAAAATAAAACTTGCTTTACATCAATCCTTTCGATTCTAAGGGAACTTCTTAGGTTTTTGGAATAAAAAAATGGACTACAAAGTCAAGTAGTCTGACAAGCTTATTGCCTTTTCAGGGAGTATGGTTTTATTGAAACTTGTTAGGATACTCATTCAGTTTGACTTAAAATTTTAAGAATTAAGGACCTTACCCATAAATAAATAATTATTTTAGGGACTTCACTCCACAGACTTCCAAATATACCTATTCTATAAGTTAGAAACACTGGGTATGAACGAATAGAACAACAAGTAAGGGCACTCCTTGGTTCGAGGTTCAGTGGAGCGTGCAAGAAAAAAGAGCAGGAAGAAAATGCCACAGAATCAGCCAAAGAGCCATATAAAAATTAAAAAGAAACCAAAGGAAAAAATTTAATTTTGTGTGCCAGAGTGGGACAGAGCGATGGCGGTTAGCCGTAAGTGTGTGTGTGTGTGCGTGTGTGTGTGTATGGTTGTGAGTGCATTTCAAAGAATTTTGATAAACAACAAAAGCAGCGGTGGAAAAGAGAGAGTGAGGTGGTCTGGAGGACCAGAGCAGAGCCAAAAGATAAACTCCGTTTTGTGTATGTGAAACAAAAGTCGAGAATTTTTCAACGCACAGTAACCGGTTTTCGGTTTCATTTTCCCCCTGCATCCGAAAAACTGAAAACTTCTGAAGCTGACACCATGAGCGTGGTCAGGAAGCGGAAAAGGGGGTGGCCTGTGTGAAAAAAATGGGGGGCGCCTGCAACTGGATGCGGCCTAGTTGTCGCTGTCTCCCATTCATAAGCCCTCAACTGCAGTCGCCCAATTTTGAATTGGCCAAAACACGCAAAGGCCAAGTTTGGCTTTCTGCTGACTCGAGCAGAGCATTGCAGTTTTCCTTGTGTTTATTTTTATTTCCAGCGAATTCTGCCAGAATTGCAAATAGACCAAGAGGAGAAAAAAACCTCGGCGCCATAATTGCCGTGCACCATGCCAGTCCGCTCATTAGAATGCTAATTTGTAAATGCAATCCGTCGGCTGGTCTTGGCCCGAGCTGTGAACATTTGTGCCCTCGTAATTGCCCCCGCGGATTTGATTTCCCTGGAAAAGCCGCAACGTGAGTCCCACGAATGATGGGTAGCAAAATATAATATATATGTTTGGTGCCAGCCCAGACAATGTAAGCAGATTTTAATGGAGAGGCGGTGGAAAACCAAATGAGATCACTTTTCTTCGCAAATAGAATGCTAATGATCGGACTGATACTCGCGGAGGAATTCTTGGAAATAACTAAAATACAAGCGCAATAATCTAGCTACCAGTATTTTATCTAAGAATATTTGCTTTTCTATCATTGCAAGTAATTAGCAAAGTCGCCCTGCTAGATAAGTGAAAAAATTCATATTTATAACATTTGGAGAGCGCATATTGATAACGAAAATGTCGCAAATAATCAGCCAAACTTGGGGCTATCAAGTCCGAGCCACTTGACTATTTATATGTAGTTATCTGGCTGCTTTCATCAATTTATATTCTAAAGTGACTTTCCTTTATTTCGGCTTACTTTTCCATTAGGCGATAAATTCACTCATCCATAACCTCGCTGGCTGCTTGAAAAGGGGTTTAGTTTGATGGGTTGTGGAGTTAACCCCGACTCGAAAACTGATTTTCCATGTTCGTACCCACATTTGCACGCCCAACCCATCCACCCTGACATGGGTTCCAGGCACTTTTACAAAGATTTACGACCGCTGTCAATAGAGCTTTGCATAACACAAACTTCCACTGGGAGGCAGAAACAAAACAGCGTCTACAAAAAAAGTATTTTCGAATTTAAATCTATTTGTCACTTGCAAAACTTTTGCTACCTTTTCGCCAGCAGCAGGCTAACACTCAGCAGGCCAACGCTCGCTTTGATGGTCGTACAAAGGTCGGACCATGAGACCATCGGCAAAAAAGGTAATGCAAAGTGGCAGTTACAAATTTGCTGAAATCAAATGCGGGATGAACAACAAAAACAAGAAGTGGAGCACAAAATAAGACCGGATATATATGGGCCAGAGAGCCGAAACGTTCCATTTAAATGAGTTGGATGGCCCATGCTTAGATGTCCGTCCCACCCCAACACTTGTTTCCTCCTGCCCTTAGCCGCCACCCTTGGAACATTTTTCCCAGAGCCCTTTTCAATCGCAAGGTCCTCCCAAAATCCCAGGGAGACTAAACACTCCATTGCAGTGACAAGTGGGAATCGTTTAGGGCAGCGTATGATTTCTAAGCTATCCTGTATTCAAATTCCCAATTAATAGGAATAGTATTAAATATTAATCTAAGAATTTAACGATAAAATGAACTCCATTTAATTCCATAAATAATAAATAAAAAATAATAAATAATAATAAACACAATTTATATATTTTGTATGTAAATTAAACTATTATTGTTAATACCAATTTTCAAACAGGACCTTTTTTACAAATTTAACAATCTTTAAATCTTACTGCAAAACTACCAAATACACCCACTTTGGTCAAAGGCTACTGGGTATGAAGTGCTCCATCTAGATGGAACAATAAGAAACAGGAGAAAAAAAATGATTTGCATTTATTTATCTTGGTAGCTCTTCATCGTTCTCCTTCTGTGTTTGAATTTGTTATTATTCTCGCACTCAGGAGGTCTTTGCGTTTTGCTTATTGTTTCGTCCGCTCCATTCCCCCGCCATCAACCCTCAACTCCATTTGGATCCATTCTGCGTCCTGCTCCACTAAACATTTCTATGCGGCGATGGTAAAAATAATCCCATTTATTGTTTAATGCTTAATAAATAAAGCAATTTTTATTTATTTGCCAGCAGTTTGTTGCTGTTTGTGTTTGTGTTTCAGTTGATTCTTTTGCGTTCGCGTTGCTTTCGTGCAATTGCGTTCTGTGTGCTTTATTGATTTTTATGCCTCGGAGATGGCGATTGGAGCACCGTTTGTGGTTGTTGTTATCGCCGGCAAAATACTTTCAATTGTTTATTGTTTTGATAATGCGTTCGGTTGTACTTTATTGTTTGTACTTGTGCCGAGCGTTTTGCGTGCAATCGTGGGAGTCAGCGATATGGGCTTCGTGTCGACGTAACAACTGCTAGCAAAGCGATAGTTAATTGGGATCAAATTGAATGTGGTTTGGACTTTGGGTATATGTATGTATGTATATGGGGTGCACAATTAATTGACATATTGAAGAAGTAATGGAGTCCTATTAAGCTCTATTGTTAAGACGCGTTATAGAATTGGTGGCTTTCTGTTGTGAAGATCACACAACAAAACCCCTTCATTCAAAGCTTTTCAAATTTTTGCTTTGACTGAACTTGAATGCGAATTATTGGCTGTATAAATATTAATAAACTATTCTTAAACCCAAACTAGTTTTTCAATATATTTATAACAAAGATTGATAATAATCTTTGGCTGGCGCCGCAAGTTGGTCATTGATATATTCGTCGTAAAGTACGCATTGTCTTTTATTCAAAATTCAACCTTTGTTTAACCACACTTTAAATTATTGAGGTTAGACGATCAAGTTATGGCGATACCATTTAGGCTTATTGTTCTTTTAAATGTGGTTTCATTTTGTATTTACCTTTTTGCCACAATCTTTGATTTTATTTAAGAACTTATATTAATAGCATGGCCAAACTTTTGATATTCTTTTGAATTTTCTTTAAACGTTTTAATGCTTAATGAGGTTGGTCTCACTTGATTCTCTTTCATGCTTAACCAACTCAATCTTTGACTTAGTTCGACTTTACTAAACTTTAATTTTCTGTAACCTTAGCCCAAGCTTAAGATGTATATCTGGCTTCGATCCACATGACAACCAATTGGCCCGCTTCTGGATAATGGCGTTCAAAGCCCCATCGGGTCTGCATCCGTTCCGGTGCACGTTACACCGTAGACTCCGACTCCGGCTCCGGCTGCCTTTCCGTCCGTCCGTCCGTTCACGGTTAAGCAGGAAACCCGCTCGGGGTCTCCATCGCTCCGCCAGCTATCGCGATTCGCATCCACACATACATATATGACGATAGTGAAGGCGGTGGCGATGGCTACCGTGCATCCTGCCTTT